TGTCGGGACTGAATGTCTCATTTTATTTACTTATTTATTTATGTATTCCCTCATACATTTATTATAACGTTTATTTCAAATTATATCCTACTGGGCCTTTCGCTCACGTTTTATGTTTTAAATGTACTAAACTCCTCCCAGGAGATTCTAGGAGCGGTGCGCAGTAGCTGGATATTTGCTACGGAGCAGCTAAGTTGTGCTGCTGTTGGAATCAAGTGAGGATCGTGGACATCCTCTTGGACAAATGTAAGGGATTTGAGAAATTCTGTAAACTTATATAATATTTGAATTTACTAGATTGTGGTTGATGTCTGTTGTAATGATTATTTACATGAACATGTATGTACGATACTGTATGTCCTGTGGGGTGGAGCCCTGTGTGTCAGAGGCTTCGGGATTCTGTAGTAATGAAATTATATTTTAATGCAGTCAAGTGTGGGGCCCAGTTGGGAACCTGCTTTATTAATCCCAAATCGAGCTCCACGTCACCCACCCCGTTTGGGGGGCGTGACAATTGATTAGCCATTTCTAAAAACGATCATTTTTTAAATTTGAAAAAACTTATATTAGGTCCGTTTAGTTCGTTGATTCGAGTTTTTAATTCTTGTTAAGATGTGACTTTATGTGAGCTTTTTACTGTAGCAACAAAATTAAATGTGATTATTTTTGAGAGTTTTTTACTGTAATAAAACTCAAATTCTAAACTTAAATCGGTAAAATAAACTTAAAAAAGCTTAAAAAGCGGTTTAAAATCCCATAAAACGTTATTTTAGTCATTTAACTGACTCGTCCTTTTCTTTTTTTTGGTTTTATCTTTTGAACAATTTTTAAATCTTTCATTTTCTTTTTATTTCGTTGGATAGAGTAATTATAATTCTATCCAACTTTATAAGCTCGTTTAGTTTGTTGATTTAAATTTTTAATTTGAGTTGATATGTGATTTTATGTGAGTTTTTTTATTGTAGTAAAAAATTTAATGTTCTGTTCATTTCACCGATTCGAGTTTAAATTTTGAGTTTTGTTACAGTAAAATAGCTCTCAGAAACAGTTACATCTAACTTTTTTGTTACAGTAAAAAGCTCTCATATAAAATCACATCTCAACTCAAATTAAAAACTCAAATCAACAAATTAAACGGACTTTAAATGTTACTGTTATGATAATTTTTTATTGTATCAAAACTCAAATTTCCACGTTCCCTTCTTAACTTCTACAGACTACAGTGTACAACCGCAGTAATTGCTTACCACCACCTTTCTTAAATAAATCCAAACCAAACCACTATTTGACACATATATAGCTAATAATAACTAATATATATATATATATATAAAGATACAAACACAACACACACTAATCAAATCCAAAGTACATTTTATCAATTTTTTCTACAAATTTCCTTTGCTGATCAATTATCCATACAATGCATCAACACAAGCACTTTTCCATCTTCCTCATACTCTCTCTCCTCTTCCTCTTTTCACTCTCTCTCCTGATCACCACCGCCGCCGCCGCCGCAACTCCGTCCTCTCACAACTCCTCATCGCCATCGTCGCCGCCGTCTACTGCGTGCAAGTCCACTCTCTACCCGAAACTCTGCCGCTCCATTCTCTCCGCCGTTCCGTCCTCGCCTTCGGCCCACAATCTCGACAACTACGGCAAGTTCTCCATCAAGCAATGCCTAAAACGAGCGCGAAAATTGTCGGAGCTCATCTACCGGTACGTTCACCGGCGTCGAGACTCCGGCCACCGGAGCGACACTGGAGCGGTGGAGGACTGCCAGCAGCTATTTATGCTCAATGTTCAGTTCCTGGAGTTCCTCGTCGAGGAGCTCTGGTCGGCCGACGATGAGTCGATGACCAGCGATCTTGTTGACCGGATCAGGTCCAGGCTTAGCGCCGTCGTGACCAACCAGCAGACATGCTATGACGGCCTGGTGGAGGCGAAGAGCGGGATTCTGTGGCCTCGGGGGAACGGAACGGTTGCGGCGCTGTCGGCTCCGGCGATGTTCGACGTTAGCAGGCTGTACAGCGTGTCTCTAGGGCTGGTGACTCACGCGCTAGCAAGGAATCTGAAACGCCACCGCAAGAGACGGAATGTTAGCGGCGGCTCCGGCGACGGACTTCACCCCACCACGGCGAACCTCCACCGGGTGCCATTGGAGCAGTTTATCAAGGTACTTACTTCGTACTCAACTTTTACTAGTGCTGTTCCGGGATTCAAAACATTACTTTTCTTGGTCATATACTTTTGTTTCTCCGCTATTTACAAAAAAGAAAATAAAAAGATTTATAATATATTTTTTTTGAGAATATAATTCATAATTTTTTACAGTCATATTTCCATTGACAAATCTGGTGAAAAATACATGTACGTTCTTCTCTTTTTTTTTTTTTTTTTTCTTTTTGTGTGTGTGTGTGTGTGTGTTTGTTTCGAGTACTTATAAGTTATTTTAACATCTTTGCTCGTGATCGTCATGGTGATTGGTAAATCTAACAAACACGAGATCGAGAATACTGTATACAGCTCGAATAACCACGAAAATTTAGTTAATTAGACCTTAATTACTGTATTAATTAGGAGTTGTTTGGTTGGAGGATTTGTACCCCGATTTGAATTATAGTTTGTGATTCGCTACAGTATTTTTTCTCACAAAAAATACACGTAAATAAAAAATAATTCAAATCTCTTGATTCTAATCCATAAACCAAACGTCTCCTTTATTTGTTACGCATTTTATCAATATCTGTGCTCACTACTCAGTCAAATTCAATGTTTAATGCCTTTATGTATAAGTGTGCACACGCCACTTTTTCGATTGGCACATCTCCATCATTCCTAGGTATTCAATAAACATATGTAAATGTCGTTGATCACTTGTCCGTAGATTTGAGAATATGATTACGATCAATTAGCTCTTAGAATATGTGGGATCTATCTTCAATTATGAGATGATTTGATTTTTTTTTATAATGCTTATATTACGACTTAATCCATATTAATCAAAACTTTGTGGAGTTTTTTTTATGATGGGTGTCATATTATTTGAGGTGTATGTTTCTGAATATTCGATATTATTAAGGGTCCGTTTAGTTCGCTGATTCGAGTTGAGATGTGATTTTATGTAAGAGCTTTTTATAGCAAAAAAATTAGATGTGATTGTTTCTGAGAGCTTTTTACTGTGGTAAAACTCGAATCGGTGAAATGAACGGGGTCTAAATCAATTAAAACTTAAAAAAGTATTTAAAACTTACATTTGATGGTAAAAACAAAAAACAAAAACAAAGCCCTATTGAAATTAAGGGTACTTTTTCATGCCCAACCTATAATTCTCTAAACTTTGTTCGCTAGCTTTTCTCTAGCAATGGTAACTTTGGTAATGTTGTCGATGGTTGTTGTTTGCAAGGAATATAATTTGATCATTCATTTGATTAACAAAAAGTGTAAAATGTTCTTATTTCTCTCTTGGACTGTTATATAGTACCAGTGCGCTTGTCATAATGTTTGAACATTTTGATAAGATGAGTTCTTCTTTCTTTTATCACTTAGGATTCGTACGGGATAAAAGTCTCATGCACGGTTTCGAATTAAAGAAAAAAGTGAGGAATCTAATATGATATGATTATGAAGTTCCGTAGGGTCTAAGTGGAGCCCTAATTACACTGTTATAGACATCTAATCCTCGTTTTGGAAGAAACAAGAAAAAAGGAAATCTTAATTTATCGTTTGGTCTTAGCTAATCTAAGGTAGATGTTTCTAGGTCTAGTTAGATTCAAAATACAGATCGCGTGTCGTTAAAATTAAGCATAACATCTACTAAATTTTAAAATCATAATATATAAATAAAGAAGTATAATTCTTCAAGGGTAAAAACCACGTGAGCGGGGGCTCAAGTCGAAATGGTAGTTAATGGCGGATTTAAGTACAGCTCAATGGGGGACGTCCCCACTCAAAATTTTTTAGAAAAAAATATTACTTCTAAAAATTTTAAAATTTTACACTTAAATCTCCACTTAAATAATATATGTCTCTATTAAAATAAATATATTTTTTTATATGTCTCTATTAAGATAATTTATTAAAAAAAATTCAATATATGCTTTCACTGAATGAATATCCACTTCATGTGTCATATGAATTAGACGTGTGTAGAGGCGTTTGGGCCGGGCCGTAAGGCCCGGATGTGCACGTGTTCATTAGTGTGGTGTTATCTGAACAAGCGGGGGAAAACTAGAACCTCCGAGCAATCTGTCAGCTGCCGGTCTGGAACCTCAGAAACTGGTTTTATTATTATTATTATTTTTTTTTTTTATTAACTGGTTAACTCGATAGTTGGGTTACTCTTATGGACCCACAAAGTGGAGCCCACCAAAGTGTGAGACTCACCAACCTATTCAATCTCATGACTACCAAACCTAACGGATTTACTACCAATTAGTGTTGAAAAATGCTTTTTAATCCTCCGATTGGATAGATCCCCGTAGACACAAGTAGGGTCCGTTTAATTCGTTGATTTGAGTTTTTAATTCGAGTTGATATGTGATTTTATGTAAGAGCTTTTTACTGTAGCAAAAAAGTTAGATGTGATTGTTTATGAGAGCTTTTTACTGTAGTAAAACTTAAATTATAAACTCGAATCAGCGAAATAAATGGGGCCGTAGTTTGTAAATGTTATATATATGATTACTTAATTTCACCGATTTAAGTTTAGAATTTAAATTTTATTATAATAAAAAAATTTTAAAAATAATTATATTTAATTTTCTTACTACAATAAAAAATTTTCATATAAAATAACGTCTTAACTAAAATTAAAAATTTAAATCAGTAAATTAAACGGGTCATTAGCATAATCTGTTAGATAAATTTAACTCTCCTTCTCCTTGAAAGTTTCTGCATTTAGTAAATTAGTAAAGCACCATTCATATCATTTGAATATATATTCATTAAATTAGTTGGGAACCAAAAATGCGGGCCATTTAAAATTGGCTTTGAAACCGTTCGTAGTTTGTTTTGAACATAGCTAGCTATCTAAATATTCATGCATACACAGGCAATTATTTATTGGATCAAAAGCATGAAATAATATATTGGAAGATTAAGTTATTAATTAATACAACAATAAAAAGCCTTAATCCCAACTTAATTGAGGTCGGCTATATGGATTTCATTTTTTCACGCAGCTCTGTTCGAAATTAAATTTTCTTGAATGCTTAAATCTAGAATGTCTTTCTTAACTACTTCGGTCTACGTAATTCTTAGTCTACCCCTCCCTCTCCTAGTATTAGGTATAAGAATGTCCTCCTAAGCACGAACTAGTGATTCTAGCGGCCTACGTTAGACATGCCCGTACTATCTCAAATGGCCTTCGTGCACATTATCTTTTATCAGTGTTACACCTACTTTAATATGAATAACTTCATTCCTTATTAATTAATAAATATTATTAATTCTTTAATTAATTTACAGGCTTTACAGAAAAGGACGAGTAATTGCGGTACTTTTTCATCAAAATCATGTCCAAAGGGAGGACGGATTCTCTCGGAAATGGAAGGGAATGGAATTCCGGTACGCGACAGCGTGATCGTCAGCAAAGACGGCACCGGAAATTTTACGACCATAGGAGAGGCCGTCGCAGTTTCACATAATAATACGAGGCCGGAAGATGGATATTTCGTGATATACGCCGAACAAGGATTGTATGAAGAATACATTGTCATCCCAAGTTATAAGAAGAATATAGTGTTGCTCGGAGATGGTATTAACGCCACTATCATTACTGGAAACCACAGCGTCGTTGATGGCTGGACTACTTACAATTCTTCAACATTTGGTAATTAAGCATTTTTACACGTGCTGAATTTCTTTTTTACATTTTCTAGTTAGAGAAGATCTTCCATAAAAAAAAAAAAGGTGACTAGATTGACATATATATATATAGCTGATTATTTAGTTATAAGCAACTCCTTAATTTTGATGTTTCAGTACTGCTACTTTTTACAGGGAAACTCGAAACCTAAAGATCAATATATAATACAGGACACAACTCAACCATAATTTAATTATTCGGATTTATTAATTAGAACACCTTGCTAGCTATTTAACTTTTATTATTATTATTATTATTATTTTTTGCTTCCCCTGTTACCTAGTAAATGTTGAGACTTGAATAAAAAAAATTCTCTATCATCAGCTGCACCATTATTCTTCATTATTTGCTTATTAACCTTGGATTTTGAGCCCATTTACTCATTTCCTTTTGTGAAATGTATTAGCTTTTACTTCAATTCATTTAAATTTGTCGAAAAGTAGTGCCAGCAATCCTAGTTTTTAACCCTTTTTTTAAATGAGTTGCTATTTTTTGCGAATATATATACATATATATATATATATAATCTTTTAATGTTAAAAGATGCAACTGGTTTTATTAGCTTTAGCAAATGAATAACAACTCACTATTATGCATAAAATTAACTCAGATGCCTAACGTTAATGACCAGGGGTGAAAACAAATTATTGCTTAACCATTAATTCTTTTTTATTTTATTTTAATATTTTATTCCTTTACTTGCTTATAAACTCGTGATTAAACCTTAATTAATTCTTCTTCTTCTTTTTTTTTCACTGTTGCAGCGGTTTGTGGAGAGAGATTCATCGCCATAGACATCACGTTTCAGAATACGGCAGGTCCAACAAAGCACCAAGCTGTCGCGGTCCGCAACCAAGCCGACCTTTCAACGTTCTACAGATGCAGCTTTGAGGGATACCAAGACACTCTCTACATCCACTCCCTCCGGCAATTCTACCGCGACTGTGACATCTACGGCACCGTCGACTTCATCTTCGGCAATGCCGCCGCCCTCTTCCAAAACTGCAACATCCTCGCTCGAAAACCGATGCCCCGCCAAAAGAACGCGGTCACCGCGCAAGGTCGAACCGACCCTAACCAGAACACCGGCATCTCGATCCACAACTGCACCGTCGAGGCAGCACCGGACCTCGCCGCCGTCGACCCGAGTAATGCCACCACCTTGAGCTACCTGGGACGGCCGTGGAAGGTGTATTCTAGGACGGTTTACATGCAGTCTTATATCGGGGACTTTGTAACGCCAGCCGGATGGTTGGAGTGGAATGGCACCGTAGGGTTGGATACTCTTTACTACGGAGAGTTTGAGAATTATGGTCCTGGTGCTGATACAAAGAGGAGAGTTCAATGGCCTGGTTTTGCTTTGATGAATGCTTCCGAGGCTTTGAATTTCACCGTCTATAATTTTACTTTGGGATGGTCTTGGTTACCGGACACAGATATACCTTTTTCTGCAGGATTACTAGAGTATTAGCAAGGGATGTGTTATTAATTATCACGTGGAACGTCTTTTTTTTTTTTTTTTTTTTTTTGGAAGGGATTTTTTTTTAATTTTCCCGGGGAACGTTTTTTTTTTTTTTTTTTTTTTTTTTTTTTTTGCCTTAAGTATTGTTATTGAGGTGTTTTAAAGTGATTGCATCTCAGTTGTTAATATGAAGAGTTTTTAAATTTTAGGCTAATTGTCGGTTGAGGTGTTACAAATTGACATTTTTAATTATATTTACACAGTATAGTAATTGGTTTTTTAATTTATATGTTAAACTAATCAAGAATAATTAGTTAATTAATTTCTTATGCTTTCATGATTTTCTTTTATCCATCTATGTACATTCCAGGGGAATTATTTAACTTGATTTTCTCGATTAATTTCTGGTTTGTAGAGCTATGGGCAATAATTCTTTTAGCTAGTTGAGTGTTGTTGGAAAGGATTTTTTTGCCTCGTGTATCAGGTATTTTGCTTTCAATTATTTCTTTTCAGTTTCTTTTTAAGTCTCTTAGATTCAATTCTAGCACATAATAACTTAACATTCTGAGCTTTTGTTCTGAACTCTGAAACTCATGGTATTATTCTGAGCTTGAGTGCTTGTTTATACCTGTTCTCCATAAGCGCATAGTATGAAGCCACCTGTTCGAGTGGCTTTTATAAGTGTCGAAAATGGTAGCTACTTTATGAACAAGTGCAGAAGGAAGAAATATAGATTCTTTTTTTTTTTTTTTTTTTTTTTTAAGTCACACACTCACACATATATAGATACATGTATAGCTGATTTCATTTGTCCATAAAAACAGCGAAGCAAAAAAGAAAAAAAAAATTCTCAAAGAGTAAGAAGAAAAGAAAAACAAAAAACAAAACCAAAAAAATGAAGAGTTCTCAGTTTAGAGAGAGAGAGAGAGAGAGAGAGAAGAGTCAGTCATCAGTCTCCATGTCTGACTCGGAGATAATTTTCTGTTGCTGTCTCTTGCCTTCAATCTTAGCTCTATTCTTGTTCTTCATTCTCATAAGAAGGAAACAAAAGAGGATGTTTAATCTCCCACCAGGCGACATGGGCTGGCCTTTTCTCGGCGAAACAATCGGTTACTTGAAGCCTTACTCTGCTACCACCATAGGCCAATTCATGGAACAACACATATCAAGGTAAGAATTCAAAAAAAAAAAGAAAAAAAGAAAAGGCTTTATATGTAACAGGACATGAATTCTAACCAAAACCCAGATTTTCTTTTTTCCTTTTTTACTTAAAAAAATGTCGTATGTCATATATATATATATATGTGTGTGTGTGTGTGTGTGTTATATATAATACATATATTATGTTGTGCAGGTATGGGAAAATATACAAGTCGAATTTGTTTGGAGAGCCGACAATAGTGTCGGCAGATGCAGGGCTGAACAGATTCATACTCCAAAACGAGGGAAGATTGTTTGAATGCAGTTATCCGAGAAGCATAGGAGGAATTCTTGGGAAATGGTCAATGTTGGTTTTGGTTGGCGACATGCATAGAGATATGAGGATCATATCTCTCAACTTCTTGAGTCACGCCAGGCTCAGGACTCATCTTTTGAGAGAGGTTGAGAGACACACTTTGCTTGTTCTCAAAACTTGGCAACACAATTCCATCTTCTCAGCCCAAGATGAAGCTAAGAAGGTACTTGCTACTTAATATTTATTCTAATTTATATAGTTTTATTTTTTATTTTTTTTGGAGACATTAATAATTAGTACTTGTTATATGTTTATTTATGTATATATATGATATTGCAGTTCACATTCAATTTGATGGCCACGCATATAATGAGCTTGGATCCTGGAGTGGCTGAGACTGAGCAGCTGAAGAAAGAGTACATCACTTTCATGAAAGGAGTGGTGTCTCCACCTTTGAATTTGCCTGGAACACCTTATAGAAAAGCATTACAGGTGATAATATTAGTGATATTAATAAAAGTAATAAATAATAAATGACTGTGAATTTTTTTTTTTTTTGGTTTGATTGTTTGTTCTGCTTTGTTTTCACAGTCTAGATCAACAATTCTTAAGTTCATAAAGCGAAAAATGGACGAAAGAACTTTGAGAATGAATGAATCAGGGAATAATATTGGAAATCCGGAGGATGATGATGACCTTCTTGGATGGGTTTTGAAGCACTCAAATCTCTCAACTGAGCAAATCCTTGACTTGATATTGAGTCTTTTGTTTGCTGGGCATGAGACTTCTTCAGTTGCCATAGCTTTGGCAATATACTTTTTGCCTGGTTGTCCTAATGCTATTCAACAGTTGATGGTAAGCAAAATTTACCCAAAAAAAAAAAAACAATATATAAATATTGAAAAAAATCCTTTTCTGAGAAAAAAAAATACTAATTATATATGGTTTTGAATTCAGGAAGAGCATAGTGAAATTGCAAGAGCAAAGAAGCAAGCAGGAGAGACAGAGTTGAATTGGGAAGACTACAAGAAGATGGAGTTCACACAATGTGTAAGCTCTTAATTAAGCAATATTATTTACGTAACATTATTTGACAGAGAAAAACAAAGTTTACTTAAAATAAAAAAAAAAAAATTGTGTTACTCTTGTGAAGGTTATAAGCGAGACACTTCGGCTTGGTAATGTAGTGAGATTTCTGCACAGAAAGGCACTAAAAGATGTCAAGTACAAAGGTAAGGACTAAATAAAGGTCAAATTTTTATTTCAAGCCAAAAAAAGGGTCAAGTTTTTATACTAAAGTGGGGTGTTTTTTCTATCCCGGAATGACACCGGAATCAAGTACTGATCTGACGCTGAGTGTTGAATCTAGAATTTATGAATTTGTTTTTTTTGAAATTAGAATATTCAAATTTATAATTGCGTGTCTATTTGAAATTAAAAGGATATGACATTCCATGTGGTTGGAAAGTGCTACCGGTTATTGCAGCCGTGCATTTGGATCCTATGCTTTTTGACCACCCTCAACATTTCAATCCGTGGAGATGGCAGGTCAGTCATAGCTTTCCACAGCATGCCTTTCATTATTATTATTATTATTATTTTATTTTTTGTCCGAAGGTTAAAATAAATAATATGAAAAAAAAGACAAATACAAAGAGAGAGAGAGAGAGAGAGAGTAAAAGCTGAGGTCCCCAAGCACTTCCATTGGTTCTTGTTGTGGTTCCCACTCGCAGCCGTTGGTTGCTTGGCAGTGGGCCCTGTAGATGTGCCCATCTCATGCATAACAGATAGTGATCATGTTTTTATTTACTTATTTTTGGAATGGTTTATAAAGTCTCTTGTGGGGCACTCTAGTGAGACTATATTTTATAAATAAAGCTAAGGTCAAAAGTTAAATTCTTTGAATATGCATTCATGTGAATTTGGTACTTGGTAGTTGTATTAGCAAAGCAGTCTATTCCTAACACATATACTTAACATATACTTGGGTAATAGTGTTAAGTGACAAGTAGCCTAAAATTGTTACATCGTCATGAAACCTAAGGTGAATGGTTCGAATTCTTTTAAGTCCATTCTTTTGAGGTCATGCTGCCTCGTATAACATATTCTCGATTGGGATTAGTCAGGAGGCTCATCCCGAATATCCACTGGTCAAAAAAAAAAAAAAAAAG